TCAGATAAAAAAAACGATTGTTATTAAAGAGAAAGAAGACAACATTGGCCTTACCATGTCGGCGATTTGTGTCAAGGTGAATCCAAATTTGACAACGACAGCATGTGAGGCATTGTAGACGGGTCTTGAGGCTGTGTCATAGTTGGCCAAAAGTCGACTCAACAGACGTTGTTCATCAGGGGTGCGTCTGTGTTCCGGGTGGTGTCTGCGGTGTCTTCTGCCTGGACACCCGATCATAGATACAGAGATTGATGAAACAAGAGTTAAAAGATTTTATCCCTCGCGTGAACCAATCTTTGTATAATTTTATGAGCAGTCGTGAAAACAACAACAAAAACAACAAAAAGAAAAAAAAAAGAAAAAAACGAGACCCGAAGAAAAAAAAAAACAAACAAAAAACACTGTACAAGACATTTCATCACTTACCTAGTAACATTTCATACATATTCTACTTTCTATTGTAAATTCCTGACACGATGTGTTTGGGTGTTATGGTTGTTGTAAGATACGTTTAAATAAAATAACAATAACGCATAAAACTTTTTTTAGACCATTTTTTTTTCATATATTTTCCGAAGGTAATATTGATCGCTTTTGTACTTACCATATCCGAAAGTTGGGTAAGAGTGATTCCAAATTTGACAACTACGGAATGCGATGCATTGTAGACAGGCCTCGAGGCCGGATCGTAGTCCGTAAGTAACTCCGTCATCAAACGTTGCTCGTCGGTGGGAACGGCGACATTTTGCACCATTGTAGCAAGTGAAACGAGCAACAGAGTGACCCAGCCGATGAACATGTTTCGAACTAAGCGCACAGCTCTGCCGGCGACAATACAAAGCCCAGGGACCTCGCCACCGGGCGTTGTCGACGGTAAATATAGGGTCCCACTCAACCGCATCCCCGGCACGGTTGATGAGCGACAAGCTGCAAGTGGATGCGCTCCTCTCAAAACTGCTGTTTGTGGTTACCAACACAAAACTGGAAACACTTTCAGGTATACGTCGGCATATCCATGAGCGTGAAACGTTGATAACTGGCCGGGGAAAATGTTCTCCTTCCTTCATCTGATGGATACGGCCGATTTAGAAAAAGGATTTGGTCTGCCTTTTCTGTGGTTCTCGTTAAGTTTGCTCGCTTTACTTAATCGTTTCATGAAAAATATCACGTAAAGTAGAGCGGATGGTTGGAAAATCGAGGTAGATGATCGCACAAAGCGGGAGAGTTGTTTATTGCAGAGTGGAGCGCTGAGATCGTGGCCGTCGTGTTGGTAAAGTGCGGCAATAGTTGGTGGGTGGGCGAGAAAGTGAAGAACAGAGAAAGATGGATACGGAACAACAAAGAAGGAAAGGAAACGGTAGAAATAAAAGGCTGAACAGTTTACATATAAACCATGAAAAAAGAGAGAGATGAAAACAAAAGTTAAAACAAATAAATGAACGCGTCCAACAAACAAGGTATGAAGAAAAAATTATATGTATATGCATAGAGACAAATAACAAAGAGAGTTGAAGATGAAATCAATAAAACTGAAAGGTTTTATGGAGAGAGAGAGAGAGAGAGAGAGGGAGGGAGAGAGAGAGAGAGAAGAAGAAGAAGAAGAAGAAGAAGAAGAAGAAGATGATGATTGAAGAAAGATAATGATGAAAGGCTCGAGAGAAAAAGAAATTGGAAGGTCGTAATTGATAAATATATAAAAAAATAAAGTATTTATTATTGGGCTATTTTAGGGTTACATCCCGGCTTTCTAACGCATCTTCAATAATAATAATAATAATAACATTTTTATTTACTGAATGTCATTATATATATATATATATATATATATATATATATATATATATGAGAGAGAGAGAGAGAGAGAGAGAGAGAGAGAGAGATCTTATTGAATATATTTTTTATGATTGAATCCATATATAGATATGAAGTGGGGTAGTGATATTTGCTAGTTATTTGTTCTCCACACTCGTTTATTTTAAATACCATCATAGTTTATTGAAATGCTTATTTTTTTTTCGCCCAAAGTTTAGTATGAGTAGTATCGAAAAAGAGCAAATTGAATATAAACAGAGCAAAATTAAATATAGAGAAAGAGGGTGAGTAAAGTGTGGGAAGAGAGGGAAGGAAGATCGAAATGAAAGAAAGATGGAGCACTGCATCTGAATGGAAGTTGAATGGCAGCAGCAGCAGCAGCAGCAAGAGTTTTTAAAAAGAGCAAAAATTGGCGGGATGAGTGAGTTAGAGAGAGGAAAGATGAGCGTGTTAGAGAGAGAGGAAAGATGAACGTATAAGAGAGAGGAAAGATGAGTAAGTTAGAGTAAAAATATGAGGGGGTTGTAGGCTAGCAGGATATCGAAAAGAATAGATGGATCCAGGGAGAATATGTGTTGCTTCAAAGGAAGGGCTTTTAAGATTGAAAACAACCTTTCTTTTTGGTAACTTATTATTAGCGTTTTTTAACGTTTATTTCTTTTTGTGTTGTTTCCGAATTCTCACTTCTGCTACTCTCTTATTACATCATTAGTTTTCTATAAAGGATTTTGGTGTTTGGAAGAAGTTGGGGAGGGCCGTAGACGCTGAAAATGTTTATTTTCATGTTCAACAAGAAATGAAAAAAGATTTCAAGAGAGAGAAAGAGAAAATGTAAAGTTAATAAAAACTGAAAAACGGTGGGAAGAGAGAGAGAGAGAGAGAGAGAGAGAGAGAGAGGGAGAGAGAGAGGGGGGAACACTTCATCCAAAATAACAAGAAGAAAAGGGAGAAAATAATAAGAAACACAGGAAGAATTAAAAAAGAGAGTCCATTTTAGACGACATGTTTCTATTTTAAAGCTTTCTACACAAACAGAGATATTTTAAATCATGAAAAAATAACTTTGTTTATAGGTCGAACGAATTAAATTAATTATTACACTCACAACCCATTTTTAAATGTAAGATTTTTAAATAAAGGAAAAGCTTAATTGTTACATATGTGTGGCTACTACTCTTTTTTCGTGATGGTAGTAGAACGGACACGTGCGTATCTTTTGTGGTATATTGTGTGCAAAGGAGACTGAAAACACGCACTGCAAATATCACGGTAGCAGATTTACAACGAGAGATAACAGTGCACACAATGCGCGTGCACGCAAAAGCGTGAAGAAAAAAAAAGGGTTATATGGACGTGTAGGAAGAAAGTGTGATTTAGGTGGCTGGAAGTTTCCATCAGGAATTTAAAAAAAAATTAAACTGTTTGTATTTTTGTTGCTGTGTGGGAGTACAATAGATAAGTGTGAGACCGCGAATCATGTTATGACAGTTGTACGACTGCTTTAGCTTATGATATATACCACATGCACCACCGCCGCTGCTACTATAACTCTACCGTTGCAGGTAGCAAAAGAACCTATGCATATTAGAGAGATATGATAACCGAACTCTTCGTTGATTGTTCTAAAAGCGACCAAACGGATGCAATCACAACATAATCTATTATACTAAACAATGAGACGTCCCATTTGTTATCAGGGTCGTTGACGTGAAGAACAAGAGGTTAATAGAATAAGAAGCAAAACAATTCCAAGAACAAACACACAAATTCTTCTCTCTCGTTCTTTCCTTTGTCTTCTCTCTCTCTCTCTCTCTCTCTCTCTCTCTCTCTCTAACATTATAGCGAAAGAAACACCTATTGTTATAATTTTACTAACACTTGAAGAGCTTCTTATTGTGAAGGAACAGTATTTCATCCATATCAGCAATACATATGATTGCTGTAAATGTATCGGTCTTCAAGCCGCTGACTTTGTCATCAAACTTCATTATTTTAATACTGCGTTTTTTATTGTTTTTTTTCTTCAATGAAACCTTTCAAATCTACAGAGTGATAGTTTTTGTCTTCAAGTTGTTCGTAAACAATTGGCTGAAAACAATTTTGCATTTTTATATTAATGAAGTTTAATTTGTATTTTTTATCTCATTTTAAATATATTCTCATGAATATTCTATTCAACTGCAAAGCATAATAAAAATAAAGACAATGAGCTCTGAGAGCTTTATAAATTAGAATCTGACGTTAAAACGAAACAAGAGTCAATTTAATTAGCTTGATGTAAAAAGTAATCATGAATGCTATATCAGGCAATCTTAAATTATACAGAAGTAAACACCCCAAACAATTTACAAGTTTTATATTTAAGCCCCCTCTCTCTCTCTCTCTCTCTCTCTCTCTCTATATATATATATATATATATATATATATATATATATATATATAATCACGATTGTTGAATTTCTTACGCGAAAAATTGGGAACACTTTAGAAAATGCCATTTAAATATTGTCTCTGAATACATGTGTGTGCTAATCATGTCTGAACACAAAAGGGTTAAAGACATACGCACGCACACACACAGACAAAATCCATTACATGGTGTAAGTCTTACTCTTATTCGAGGACGCGAATATAATAATGTATGATTCAAAGTTTAATCTTTAAAAAATAAAAGTAAATGGTTAGTGCATTGTGCAGAAACCTTTTGCAAAGGACGGTCATTAAACACATTATATTTCATAGTTTTAATTATATTTCATAGCTTTATGTCATTTTAGTTTCACTGATGACATTCTACTTTGTATTCGAAATCTGATTTAGAAAAAAATCGTTGATGATTTTTGTTGAATGAAGTTTTTTAATATCTTTGAATGAAACACTGAATTTCTTTTTTATATTTTAATATTTGCTGATGAAAACATAGCGATAAGATATAAACTTGGATTCTACCATATCTTTGGAGCGCTCATTAAAGTACAGAAATAAAATAAAATTTTCTTTTTGCCTTACGACTATAATAAAAATAAAAATTTCATAAATACTTGGAAAAACAAAATTATTTCTTTTTTCTATACCCACCCGATAACAACATTCGATTTTTCCCAAATCGTAAAAACCATTTTGATCCCAGTTAATATATCTAGATTTCATCAAAACACACACACACACACACACACACACACACACACACACACACACACACACACACACACACACACACACACACATATCTAAATTTCATTAGCTTCAAATATATACAATAATGTTGTTCAACTGACAGACATTTTTTGTAATGCATAAGTATGTAACAGTTTGATCTACATGTTGAAAAATCTTTTAATATAAGAGAAACTGAAAATATATCCCTTCATAAAAACTTTTAGCTAGTAACGATGATCCACTGCTAAGACTATATATATATATATATATATATATATATATATATATATATATTATCTGCGTGTGTGTATGTATGTGTGTATGAGAGAGAGAAAAGGAGATGCACAAACATTATATATATATATATATATATATATATATATATATATATATATATATATATATATATGTATGTATGTATGTATGTATGTATGTATGTATGTATGTATGTATGTTCGTACAATTAAATGAATTAAGAAAGATCTTTTAAAATATTTGGCCAGTTCATAAAATATAACATTGCATCCATTTAATATGAACCATACATCTAGTACAATTAATATTAGATAATGATATAAGAGTATTAAAGATTTTATAACTACATAAATGAACCACATACAAATAAGATTATAATACATTTGGATTAAATCTTGAATACTACATTTTTACATCGTTATTATCTTCAGTTACAATAATTCTTGAGATATTGGAGAAAACTTCATAAGAACAAAACCTTGATTTACAAATACCGAACTAGACTGACATTTGTGTTGATGGGATCCAAGGGACTCACCCAAGCCTTAAAGTCAATTTCTGAACTCAGTGTAGTAAAAACAATAAAGAAAATTGTTTTTTTATTTCTCAACTGTTGTGAATTTTTTAAGCACACAAAGGAACTAATTGTAAATAGTGGGATTCATAAAATTTACATTAACAGTTATATGGAAGCTCATTTAAACTGACCGTTACAGACTTCGGGTATATAAGACTTGCTCAAGGTCAAAAAGAGCGTAGATATGCGTTACATCTACTGCTGCTGCTGCTGTATTTAAAGGAGAGGTCGAAGTCCAGCGCTACTGCAGAAAGAAATTTTCAACGTAAGTACTTCAGCAGCGGGTTGAATATAAATATCAATATTTGAAAGTCGGGAAGACTTTTTTTTTTTAGTTCTCATTTTCTTTCCATAGTTTAGGAAAGAATCACCGAATAGTAAATCAGGATTTCTGTCTTAAATATCAGAGAAAGAAAGTATTTTGACTAGACGACGTAACCTTCTTAGACACGTAGAAGATTTTTTTTCAAAATATTACTTTTTTACATTTTACCCAATACGTTTTTGAAGAGGAAATTGTTTCCATCAAAGTACAAACAAACTAAAACGATAAAAAAGAAACTTGAGTGGAATTTAGTAGAAGTTAAAGAACTGAACATTTTATTATTTGGAGAAGTAGTTGGAAAAGAAAAAGGTGTAAAATTTCGATTTTACCATTAACACTGGTTTCTTTTGCATCGAGATGCGCTACTATTCATACAATTGATATACACCCAATTCCTGCAATTAGCATCGTCATACAACCTAAAGTTATTGATAATATATTTTAACAATATTCACTGTTTGCTTTATTTATTAGGTCTGATTTTTATCATCTGGATCATTTACCTACTCTTCACCACCCCAAAAAACTTTTAGATTGTATCTTTACTCAAATGACAACCAGAATCTGCCCAGGGAAGTCCATAAACAATTGTAGCACTGGCTGAGATGTAAGAATTTCTTCGAGCTTAAGTAGCTTCCTTAAAACACTTATGTTTTGAAGAAGATCACACTTCTATTTGTTGCAATGGTGCCAGTCATTTCTTCCGTTGTCAGACTACATTCAGCATTTTCTACGTGTTTGTTTTGCCATATTCGTCATATAGTTTTCTCCAGGTTGTTTGTTCATTCAAGCAGTAGAAAAATAAAATTCCTAAGACTCCCTTACTGTAGCTTTCATTTTGAATATAACTTAATTTCAGACATGATAAAGGACTTGACACTTCAAAATATTTTTTAAGATTTGTAACGTTTGAATTTCGTGTGTAATATATAAGCGGGCACTGAAAATATAACGGCCCACTTCCCAAACGCTGAACAAATGATGACAAAACATCAACATTTTTTGGGTGGAAGTTTTATCGCCCATTTTAATCATATATATATATATATATATATATATATATATATATATATATATATATATATATATATAATAGAGAGAGTGACAGAGAGAAAGCAAGATGAGTGGGAAGAGAGACATTGATTTGTCCCAAATGATGTGATAACATTATGCAAAAGTAATGGAATGTGTCGCCAGCTGATCTGGACGTAATGGAAATGCCCAAAGCGATAATGAGTCGTGCTTTGGCATCTATTGAATTATTTGGTGAACATCAGGTTGGCTGCTCATGGCAAATGATCTAAGCTTGAACGCGTCATGATAGGGTATGCCAGACAGATCGTAGCTTGTATTTCTGAAATTAGAGGGACATTTGATATCCCTTAATCTGTGATGCCACGTGTGTACCGGGAATACACGATGGAAGCCTTTGCAGCTAATCGCGTAAGCGCAATGGCTGATAATAACTGAAGATTTCAGTCTAGAATTGTTAAGTGACACCGAATAAAATCGTAATCACATGCAGGGGAATACCAGACATATATCCAGGTGGTCAGTTCAGCGTTCTTTAGCTCCTATAGGCTATGGGAGTCGTCTCGAGTGGGCCCGAGTAGTCAACAATCCCCTTGTCAATAGATTCTTGAATGGTGACCATGAATGGGTGTACCATTCATAGACTCTATGTACCACAACAACAATTTACAGCAAGGTAATGCACCATGCCATCACGGTCAAGTTGTTAATTTGTTTGTGAGCATTCATGGGTGTGATAGAGAGAGGGCTATTTTCATGTAAGATCCTGCAACCTACAAATATGAGAGAGCATTGACGGCATAGCTAAACATATCTCTAGATGTTTTCCGACCACCTGTGGAAATGTGTGTGTGGAGGAGAGAGATAGAGAGAGAGAGAGAGAGAGAGAGAGAGAGAGAGAGAGAGAGTTAGAACTGATATGATTTTTTTAGAGTAACTCAATTCATTAACACTGTTGGAAAAGACGAGTTATCGGGTCTTTGTGCAATAATTAGGTTTTAACACGATTTTAAAGATTAAGGTGCCACCAAAAGCTGAGCGCTACAATTACGTTGATATCATCTTTTGGAGGAGTTTCTATAAGTTGTGCTTATTGTGTAACTTTCATTTCTATAGAAAGCAATGTTCTACTGTCTAAATGTTTTTAGTAGAATATAAAATAACAGAGAACATTTACAAAACGGAATAATGTGTGGCATCTCAAAAATACTTACAGAAATGCTGAATAAAATTAAGTCAGAGAATACACGCTTGTTCAGTTTCACATGGCAAGCAGTGTTGACCTATTTATTGTCAACCTTTCTAACTCACTATTAACAATCAAACAGACAAGCTGACCATTAAGCCATGCCGTGGCACTTAAAGTGATCCTCTGTATAAACGTTTTTTAGTAACATTCATTTTAGTATTTTTGTGTAATTACAGTTTTCTGATTTTTAAGCCTAAAATGTATTATACACGGGAACAACTTTCCGGTCATTAATGTCGCCATATTTGGGAGGATATGGCCGAAAAATGTTATATCTGATATATAAACTAACTAATGTGTAACAAAGAGTTTGCAATGCTGCATTTATTTAAAAATATTCCCATAAATATTAGATAAGTTTTAGATTACTTTCCATGTTAAATTATAGAATTCATGACAGTTTCATTTATGTTGACAAAGTAAGAGATATATTCGCTATCTGCCATACCATCGTCACTTTCTTTCCTCAAGAAGGATCTATCTATCTATCTATCTATCTATCTATCTATCTATCTATCTATCTATCTATCTATCTATCTAGACTGACATTGAGGTCAACACCTAGCGGCGACAGTCTGTTCATGCATACACGCAATCGTTTAAGTATGAAGCAGATTGTCGCCGTTGGATGTTGACCTCAGTGTCCACTTTCATATTTATATACGCTCTATCCTATCAAGATTAGAGCATATATAAATATAGCATACCTTAAGTCTATATTTTTATCATATATATATATATATATATATGATAAAAATATAGATTTAAGGTATGGTATATATGGATAGCGGCTTGGATTGAGGAATCGAAGAGCCCTGTTCAAATTCCAGTCGAATCCATTAAATTCATGTGGGTGCTAATATCCTTGGGAAAGGTGTGGATCCTCTTCTTCTCCCACCAGCTATGGGTAAATAGCAGGACAGACTGGATTCTATAGCCTTGGATGGCAACTGATCTAGGAGAAGGACAACTCTAAATTCAAAATCTGCGGAGGGTCGTTTGTGCACCAGGTCTCTGTATTCAGCCCTTCAAAAAGTGTGGATGGTCCTGCACGAAACCTTCACCACTATAATCAAATCTCATGTGCTGTTGTCGGGCTGTCGGTTTCCTAGGAACTGATCTGCTTGACCTTCATACGTCGTATTCGACAGGAGAGTCGAGTATATATATATATATATATATATATATATATATATATATATATATAGACTGGTAGAGAAATATATATAGACTGGTAGAGAAATTCTTAAATCTTTTAAAAAAGCATCTAATACAACAGCTAAAATAATAAAATTCTGCCATCACCAGTCAATGTTATTTCACATTTAATAATAATTTTTATAAACAAAAATTTGGATTACCAATGAGATCGACTCTTAATGGAGTGATGGCATGTATTTGCTTAGAATTTCTTGAAACTGGTTCTTTCCAAAATATTTTACCTAAACAACTTCCTTCCGATATATTGACGAGGTTCTATTAATATATCCCTGTGATACTGGTTTTGTTTTATCATTAAATATAAAGTATTTATGGTATTGGATGGTCGTGAAAGTATTTTCTGTTTATTTTTCCTCTTCATGTAAAAATTGAATGTTGCAAATTCTGAGTGATGATTATTCCGGAATTTATTTTGTTGTTATGATGGGAAAAGAAATATATTAGATCATTTTTATTAGTTGCTTTTCAGCGGACACTAGGTTTTAAACTACTGAAAGATAAAGTATAATTATCTTCCATTTTGTATGTAAATTATATTGTGTGTTCGATTTTGCTTAAGTCATCTGCAAGATCAGGTAAATCCGTGTATATATATATATATATATATATATATATATATATATATATATATATATATATATATGATAAAAATATAATTTTAAAGTGTGCTATATTTATAAGTTAAAGTGCTCGATATCAGGGATAGAGCGTATATAAATATGAAATTGTACATTGTGGTCAACATCCAATAGCGACGGTCTGCTTCATGCTTAAATGTAACCGTTTAAGCATGAAAGAAAATGTCGCCGCAGGTGTTTTACAGACTAACTGCAGCTAATAATACTTTGTAGTCTGATTTGAAATCAGTTCTTTTTTTTTTTTAAATAAGCTCAGACACAGAAAGTAGTAGTAAAGGAAGTTTAGAAGTAAGGGCTAAGCATCAGTTGTAAGAAGGCAATGTATTGTTAGCAAGAGTGACACCCTAATATGCGGGTTACGAATTAGTGACGTCAAAATCATCCATGTACAGAAATTTAACTATTTGGGATTTTTTTTAAAACAGACAACAGAAAAATGTGACACAAAAATTCACTGGAATAGAGAAAAATGCCTTCTAAAAAGTATTAAGAGACAGTAATATTTTGTTAGAAAGAAAGAATAGGGTGCTGAAAGTGCGAAGTAATATCAACTCACTTATACGAGGGTCGGCTGAAATGTACATAAGCTGATTATGAAGAAGTGATGCCAGAGCTGTGAAATTTTGACATATATTAATTTCAGTCTTCTTATTAATGACTGTATCGTATATTTCCAGTTAAACTGTTCAATCTGAGTCTTCAAAAGTAACTAGTTGCGTCTTCTCTTGAAAATGGACAAAATTTGGCATTATCGTATTATCAATACGTACAGAAAAAGGACATTCCTGCTGACATGGTTGCTACATTAGGGGATGATGCTCCAGCGTTATCAGCAGTGCAAACGTGGGTAGATGAATTTATGAGGGAAAGACGGGAGAGTCTTGAAGATGCCCCAAGGTCTGGAATTCCTACAACTGCAACCACCGAAGAAAACACTTATAGCGTTGATTGCATGATGATGGGTGACAGACGATTGACTATAAATCAAATAGCAATGCTGTTAGCATATCCTGTGAGAGAGATGAAAATATTCTGTACAATGAACTTGACATGACGAAGGCAGGTATCAAGTCTTCTGATACTTGATCAAAAATACACCAACCGGATGATATCACGGAAAATCTGACATTGTTTGACATCACTTTAGGCCACCACTTCTCACCTGTTCCAAAGAAATCCAAAGTCATTTTATCTGCAGGAAAGGAGATGGGTTCAGGTTTTGAGGATACAAAAGGTATTGTGTTTATCTTCAAAAGGGCCAGACCATCAATGGACTGTACTATGCCAACTTGCATGAAAGGCTATCAAGACCAAATACCCAGGAAAACTGACGAAAGTGGTCGTATCTTATCAGGACAATGCTCCACCTTGGTTTCAATGACTGCTGTGGGCAATTGTGGCTTTGAACCGGTTCTCCTGAATTGGCCCCATCTGACTATCTTCTTTTCCACAACATGAAAAAAAAAAAAAAAAAAAACAATTGGCTAGGAACCAGCATCATAGTGATTATGACATCATATCTGCTGTTTAAGAATTTTTTGTCCAAAGCTTCTGCACCAATGAGATCTAAGCATTGCAACACTCATGGAAGTAATGTGTGGACAGAAAGGGAGAGTATGATGAAAAATAAAGTTCATATGGTCACATTCCATGAGAGTATATTGGTAAGCCTTTTAGCCAACTCTCGTATTGCAGTGAATACTGGATAATCTCCTCACAGATGATGAAACTTGAGGCAACAGAGATGTGGTTCTACGGAAGGATGCTGAGAATACCATGGAAGGAACATGAAAGCAACAGGGAAGTTTTAAGGAAAATGGAAACAAAAACGACACTAATACAAAATCTGAAAGACATATGAAATTTCTGGGAATTAAAATGTGTAAAGAAGTATTTTGAAAATTTGACACTCACGGGACATCTTGAATCAAGAAGGACAGACTGAAATTGCAAGTAACTGAAGAACAGAGTCTATGCGCGGTAGTAAGGAGGCAGACATTACTTAGAACTACAAAGGATAAGAAGTTGTATGGAGCCATGATCACCAACGTCCTGAAAGGGACACGGCACATAAAATTTGAAGTAAAAAAATCGTGGATTGGTTTTATTTTCTAACTACACAACCTCACTGGGAAATTCACAAAATAATTGTTTACTGTGGAAATTGCTAATAATTTTTTAAATTATCGTTTTACATTGACTTCCATTTTCTGTCACTTGTATAAATTTTGCTGTGATGAAAATAGTTTCCAGTATGATCAGTACATTTGTTGGGATATTTATTTTAAAATAACATGATGTAAAAGTGTAAGAAAGTCTTTCAAAATTATAATTAGGATTATAATTTACTGATTACAAGAACAACACGAGTAGCTGTCGAGTATTCTTCAGTATTTTCATGAATTTATAAGAATTTCCATCCACACATATAAATAAGGATATATTTAAAAATATGAAACGTCATTGCGTAGATATTATGTATGTTTATTGTATATAAGTCAAGGACAATTATATGCTTAAGAATGATATGATTCTACCAAAAGGCAATGCTTCATATTTTGCGTTTCTTGAGTAAAATGTTCTCTTTGAAACCATTGTCTTTTGTGTTCAAGTTGAGATGTAGCACGGTTGACCCAAAGGCACAGAATTGCGGAATATTTTGTATAACTTTATTGAAATCTTTCAATGCTTTTTGAAATCCTTATAGATAATCACCATTTGTATGTTGCAGCTCCAGAAACCGGATTACGTTTTCGTAATTTTCTTTTAGATACACAAATTCCCAATAAATATTTAATATATACTGAGTTCTTCTGTGCAGAAGAACACATTTGAAACTTTTTGAAGAGAAGATTATCAAGAGAGAAGGAAAACCAAAATGTTCCTTTCACCGTAGTAGATTTTAACAGATTGAGATCTCTAATCAAATAATTAATGATACTTTGGAAAGCGTCTTTTTTCTTTTCTTCGTCATTATGGCAAGCGTAATTTCTTCAGTTTTAACATTTTCACGCTCACCCTCTTTAATGAGATTAACTTGTCGTCACAGACGATTCCACAAATTATGAAGTAGAAGCAAGTTGACGATGGA